CCCCTCCCAATATGGTAACATGTGCCGAGTTCTGAAGCTGGGGTCCAAGAGAGACATAGTACATCTGTGCACCCCTGAGAAGAGGCCTCCACCCTTAGACACCACACTCTGCTTGGAGACACAGCCCAGAGGAGGAGCTGCACCTAAAGGGTGGTTCTAGGGCCAACCAGCTGCATTTGTTCTCCTCAATAGCTACCACAAMATATTACAGGATTTCACAAACATGCATGAATGAGTCAAAGCAATTCCCTGTATGTTTTTAATGAGGGGATAATGTTATAACATGATATAAAGCTAAAAAGGTTGACTTTACATGATATTGCCCTTTGGTATTCAGCACTCAGAGCACACTAAGTGAATACTGTATTTTRCTCTGTTTAATGTGGATTTTCTCACCTCAGAGGGAACAATGTTTTTGGCAGGACACTTTAGACCACCACTACTCTCTCCTCCTTTTACTCAGAAACTAACACCTGAGATGGTTCTAATTACAAACAAATGCACAGAAAAAAATAATTTTGTGTGTGTGATGTCATAGGTTTGAGGCACATCGCAATTCTGAAGCTGGTTGGAACCGAGCTGCTAGACATGGGCGGAGTCTTAGAACTGTATCCAATCAATGGTAAGAACTTTTCCATAAAACTGATTTTAATGCATCTGAAGGAAATTTTGTGACTAACTGAATTTTAGAAATTCTTTTATATTATTTTCATGATTGATTTCAGTCATTCACTTTAGACAGTAATAGAATCCACATGTCTGTACTTATTTTTAAATTAATAGACTTAGCTGAACCATAACTTTTACTTCATTGTKCATATCTTCAAACATTTCCTATGTTCCTTTTAGAACAGTGGTTTCTCTTTAAGTGAGACATCAAATAACCTTCCCTCAGATCAGCTGGGCTTATTCAAATCCAGAAACCCACATATAATATTTCTGCATCCTGCTGCCAGTCAATATGGTCAGGGGACTCTCCCTTTCGTGGTTCTTGGTCTAAAATTAGTTTTTTTTTACAAGGCAGTTTCTTTTCTACAAAAATGGGTCAGGCTTATGTAAGACTATAGAATCTAAATCTCTTACTAACATATTAGGGCTTTACCTTTTGGAGTCAAGAGTGAGGAGGTACAGTACACATATTAAACTAATTCAGCAAGGGAATCATGGCTGCATTCTTTGTTTTATGAAAATAAATCACCCTCCTTAAACGCTTTAGCACTAATTTAAACCTCTGTTCCATCTAGGCAGTGCTACTGTGGACCGGGAAGGGCTCTCAGCCACCTTGGTGAAGGACATGAGGAACTACTTTCAAATCAGCCCAGAATACTTCTCCATGCTGCTGGTAGGAAAGGACGGCAATGTCAAGTCCTGGTACCCTTCGCCCATGTGGTCCATGGCCACCATCTATGACCTGGTGGACTCTATGCAGCTGCGCAGACAGGAGATGGCCATCCAGCAGTCGCTCGGCATGCGCTGTCCCGAAGACGAGTATGGTGGCTATGGCTACCATCAACATGGATATGAACATGGTTATCAGGATGGCTATCACCAGGGTTATGGTTACTAAATGTAGCATCTCATTGGGTTGCAACTAGTTGGCAACTGGATTTCAAGAAGCAGACTCCAGAAACCCTTGCAATGTTAAGTGGTTCCTTCGTGTGAGTCGTAAGGCTCARGGTCCTGCTTGAATTGTGAATACATTCAAAAGATTTTTGGAAAAGATTTGCTTTCAAAATAGTCAGACATCTTCAACACATCTAAATTTTGTTGTGGGTTTCTGCAACCTATGTTAAGAGTGCTAGACCTGAAAGCTCTCATTGGACAGACAACATGTCCAGGTTTCAAAAACAACTGATAAAAAACAGCTATTTAAGAACTGGTCTAATTCTGCCTAACTTCATTTGTTAAGTATACTCAAGAAGATTAAATCATAAATGTTACTTGATTTCCATTTGGGATTATTAAGGTATTTTTTAATTGATTTGAACTGGTTGGGCAAACTGAGGTGGGTAGAGATGAACGACAATGTGCACGGGCAAGAATGCAGTTTTGCAAGCCATGTATGCAAAAATGAGCTGAGGTTTTAAAAATACTGGCTTGCTGGTTATTTGGTTGCAGACGCTCAGTGGTCAGTGTGAATGCAAAAAAATAATAAAATAAAATACGGCAAAGTTTAGTAATTTTGAGTCTCTAACTTGTCACCAATCAAGCCCAGTGAGATACTTGAACCTCTGTGTGATGGATGCCATCCATTGACCCTTTCAGCTCTGGTATTTTTGATTCACAATGGGGGTTTTTTTCACAACGATTTTTCAACACTTTTATTAGAAACGGACAGAGCAGTTTGAATATTTTGCAGCACAAACTGGATAACAGAACAGTTTTTTTTCTGTTACCTGTTTTACATACAGCATGTAGTACAGCAAGGTGAAACACAACAGCTTGTATTCAGAGGTGGTCAGTTAGTATACAGTGGTTTGCAAAAGTATTCATACCCCTTGAACTTTTCCATATTTTGTCACATTACAACCACAAACATAAATATATTTCACTGGAATNTCTGACGTGACATGTTCGTACGAAACCTTTGTACGAACAAAAGTAAGAGAAATTTAGGATAAGAATACGAACATATTCTTGCATGAGGCCCATTGTTCCTGTTCTGCGTAAGTCCCTGGTAGCCCCTCCTCCTGTCTTGACAGACAGCCAACAGGATCCTCCGGCTCAGGGCCGGTGACATTATTTAGGTCTACCACTTGAATTTTTGTTCCGTAACCCTCAGGATCTTTGAAAAAGTATAAAATGACTGTCTAACAGCGTCCAGCCTCAGCAGCATTGGCACACAGAGAGGGTTTGTTTATGCAGCTCAAAAATCCAACCAAGTTCAAAGAAAAACATTGTTTGTCTTTGTCATCAGGAGGTCAGGACACTGTGGATACCCGACAGAAAAGAACTCTGAACCCTGAAGTTTGGGGCTTTTAAAGGCCTTGGTCTTAAACTTTTTGATCAGCTTGTTTCGGTTTAATACTTGTTTGTAATAAAATGCTGACTCAGAGGATTTTTTTTCTCTCGCTTCCATTTCTTCTTTCTGCATTTTGAAGCTCTACTTAGAAACATCTTAAGATCTGCCATCTGTCTGTTTTCTGCCGGTTATCCGGAATCGGGTCTCGGGGGCAGCAGCCTAAGCAGAGATGCAGGCTTCCCTCTCTCCAGCCACTTGGGCCAGCTCCTCTGAGGGAATCCCAAGATGTTCCCAGGCCAGCTGAGAAACATAGTCCCTCCAGCGTGTCCTGGGTCTTCCTCTGGGTCTCCTCCCAGTGGGACGTGCCCGGAACACCTCACCAGGGAGGCGTCCAAGAGGCATCCTAACCAGATGAACCACCTCAACTGGCTCCTCTCGACGTGGAGGAGCAGCAGCTCTACTCTGAGTCCCTCCTGGATGACCGAGCTTCTCACCCTATCTCTAATGGAGAGCCCAGACACCCTGCAGAGGAAACTCGTTTCAGCTGCTTGCATCTGCAATCTCGTACTTTCGGTCACTACCCAAAGCTCGTGACCATAGATGAGGTAAATCGAGAGCTTTGCCTTTTGGCTCAGCTCTCGCCTCACCACGACAGACCGGTACAGCGCCCGCATCACTGCAGATGCAGCACCAATCAGCCTGTCGATCTCCCGCTCCATTCTTCCTTCATTCGTGAACAAGACCCTGAGATACTTAAACTCCTCCACTTGGGGCAGGACATCCTCCCTGACCCGGAGAAGGCACACTACTGTTTTCCAGCTCAAGACCATGGTCTCAGATTTAGAAGCACTGATCCTCATCCCGGCTGCTTCACACTCGGCTGTGAACCACTCCAGTGAGAGCTGGAGATCACGATCTGATGAAGCTAATAGGACCACATCATCCGCAAAAAGCAGAGATGTGATCCTAAGGTCACCAAAACTTCTCAAGATCCAACAGTGCAAAATGTGAATTCTTGCCAATTTTCAACTGGTCTTGTAAAAGGACATTAATTCATCTCTGCGCTCACCTGTGTGCAACTCTTGTTATGATCGGTTGTTTGAGCTCTGAATAATTTCCGAACACTGACAACGGTTTAACAGTTTTATTGTTAGAAGGTGTGTCTGGAGGTTGAGGATGGAAGTTCGGAAGCAGCAAATCTGGACACAGAGACGTGGAGTTAGGTTGGCACAACGAGATTATATCAAGGTCAAAAACAAATCCAGAGTCATACACGGGTGGTCAGAGATTGTTACCGGGTTAGATG